GGGGGGGGGAGGCAAGTACTCTCACCTACAAAAATTCAAGCTCTTTTAAGATGATTTTTCGAGATTGATCAATCCTGTGGTGACAGGAGAAGAGCAAAGCTTCTAGCATCTGTGGAGTGGGGCAGGACGTAGATCAACTGGCTGATAGCTCACTCGATCCTTGTGAGGCAAAGGTTCCTCCTGAAAAAATAAAGGAAGAACAACAAGAGTTAAAACATGGGATCTAGAGCTGAGGAGGATCAACAAAAAGATGTTATTTTAAACTACATCGTCAGCATTTATCTGGAATGGCTTCACAAAATCGTCAAACATCAGAGGAGAAAGACCCTTGATTTTCTCTTCAACTTCCTACAAAATGAAAGGAATTTAATCTTAAGACAGAGAGAACCCAAGCTCATAGATGATCATATTTCATTTCCTCATATAGGTTTCAGAAAGTGTACCAATCCCGTAATCCTTGATTTTTCCAATAACTCTCTGGTGATCAAGTCCAGAATGTGTCTATTTGTTCTCAGAGCATTCATCGCAAGTTCTTCAGTCTCCTCAATATACTGTCACCAACATTCAGATTCCACATATATGTTTCAAGCTCCGCAAGGGAGAGTTTAAATCAAATTAGGTATGCTAACTCAAAGATAGATTACCCTTGTCAACTCTCGTGTGAATAGCTCGGATACTTCAACTGACATATCCGCTGGCAATACATGAGGATGATCCCACTGATATTTTATATCACGAAGTAGAAAAGAAAGTGATGAACTACCAAGATTATGAGAAATCAGCAAAAAATGGGAAAGTATCAGTCTCTGATTATGTACCCGGTATTTTATCAGCTCGCCATCTGGGTTATCCGGTAAATCCACCATTCCAATCTTTTTTACCAGTTGAGTGAGACCTAATCTCGCATTTTGGGGGCTAATCACCATCTCCCTGGCAATCTGAAATATAATGTCAGTTCAAATTTAAAATGGAAGACCAAAGATTAAAATAACTCACACAAGCACTTTGCAAATACTGTATATGCAATTTAAACAGATGTACCGAGTTGGAATCTTAGTAAGAAGCTGAAAAGCAAGACTTAGTAATTAGTTAGACGAGAGAGAGCAGTTACTTTTGTTATCTTCTCCAGGTCATCTTTTCCTCCATCAGTGACATCATCACCAAAAACCACAAGCTCAGCACAACGTCCACCATGGGCTACCACCATTTGCATTTTCATATAACCAAATGTGGTATAACCTTGATCTACCATGTCTTCACGTGGATAGAAAACCGATACAGCAGTTTCCTATATAATTTAAGAGAAGAGTTTATTCAATTCCTTCTTATACTGTGTTGAGTGTTCAAACACCACTATAATTAAAATTGAAAAAGAAATATTTGAAACAGACCTTGCCACCAGGAAGGAGCTGTGAAAATGCATGCCAGTCAAATCGAGGAAACAAATGAGCCAACACTATATGACCAGCCTCATGAACAGCCAGAAGTCTCTTCTTTTCGTAAGATACCTAATATTACATAAGCTTCAATGGTAAGGTTTTCTTTATAGCTTTGGGGGCATAGTATGATGTGAGATAAATAGTACAAAGGATGTCAGTACGGACACTTTGTTCACACTTCTGTTGCTCTTCCTCTGTAAGAAGCACACCCATACCCTCGAGCAATTGTTTATCTAACACATCAACAATGTCCTGCTGATATATGTAAGAACGTCCCTTCCTTACCTGTAAATTGGAATTATGATCCTTAACAATTCAACAATGATCTTCTAAATATTGTATACTTATACTGGGAAATTGAGATCCACATAAGAATATGACATACCGACATTATAGCTGCTTCGTTAACAAGATTTCGGATATCTGCCCCGGAAAAGCCAACAGTCCGAAAAACAAGCTGGATGTGGAAAGGGAGATAGCTATTATGATTGAGTATACACCCACCTCAGGCATATTATTGAGACTGAAAACAGCATGAAAAGTACTTGCCTTCCCAAAGTCTATATCTTCTGCAAGGTTCTTCCCGGTACTGTGAACTCCAAATATTTGCACCCTTTGCTTTGCATCAGGCAAACCAATATATAGCCGACGGTCAATACGTCCAGAACGGACAAACTCAAGGTCGAGTTCATCAGGTCTATTGGTGGCACATATGAATATCACAGCTTGTCTCAAGGAAAACCTATCAATGCCTGTCTTTTCCTTACTGCAGGTGGTACAATTTTAAGTATGAAAACCTTGACACAAACACGATGAAAACATGCACAAAAAGAAACATTTATCTCATTATCTAAACAACAAAGTAGATTCTTACTCCCCGTCGAGCTGGGCAATTAAAGCTTCAAAAGTTGCTCTTCTTCGTGGATCTTTTCTAGCATGCCTACCAGCAATAGCATCTATTTCATCCACAAACACAAAAGCAGGTGCCTGGATATAATATATTAAAATTAGATCCACAGTAATAGTGTGAGTAGAAGACAACTATATCGCATGAGCTTTTAAACACATAACTAAGAGCCTCACATTTCGTCTCGCGATTGAAAACATCTCGTTGATTTTTGCAGCACCACTTTTTTCACTGTCTGTAAACTCCGCACCAGATGCAAACACAAATGGTAGCCCACTTTCCTTTGCAAGTGTTCGCGCAAAAAGTGTTTTTCCAGTTCCAGGAGGTCCAGAAAGAAGCACACCCTGACTCAAAAATAAAAACAGTGGGATTTTGAGCTTGATCAGTGTAATGAAATACATCAATATCCGCATGTTAATTTGGGTCAAGATATAATTTACCCTGACAAAAGCCACATCTTTTTCATAGTAGTGCATTGGGTTCCCCATGTATATCATTAGTTCATCAAGAAGATCCCAGACATCACCACCTAGTACCACATCTTTATACATTGATTTTGTCTCACTGACATCTCCAACCGGCTGTATGATAATTAAAAATCATCAATAGACTGTGAACAACATGTTGGAAGAAGGTCACATTAACAAAGAAGCAAAAAAGGTTACCAATATAAAATTTTCCGCATAAGCCATATCAAATAGCTGATTATACTTCTTGTAGAGAAAACGCTTGGATGTGATGAGGAGAAGCATGGCAGATTCTCTAATAAACCATAAAATTAGTATCCCCGGCAGAAGTGCAACGAACACTTTCATGAAGTAGTGGATCTGCCTCTTCTGAAGAAGATCCACCTCAACTCCAGCGTTGCAAATGGTCTCAAACAAGTAAGGATCTAAGGGAATGTCAACCTAGAAAGACAAAGGATATAAGTATGGAATGTACATCAATCAGTTTAGTACTAGTAATTATAAATATTTTACTTACGATATATTCTACAGGGAAACCTTCTTTCATGGTCACATACAATCTCTTTAAGTCTTCCGTGAAGACAACAGCTGCCACCTGTTAGCAACACACACAGCTATTATCGTACCAACGTAAGCTCAAAAAAGAACTATCATCCTATCACATCCAGCTTCAAAATAATAGCTTTGGAAAGGAAATTATTCATTTATTATCTCATAAGGAATACACCATCATTTGTATCATTTAAGAAAGTTAACTGGATATAATGTCATATCTCGCTCACAATCCCAAGCCGGGCACGAGTATAAGTTCAAGCTGTACCTCAGAAGAATCAAGCTTCTGAAGAAAGTAGGTATAGGGAAGCTTAGGGCGATATCGCCACCATCTCTTTGATATCCAAAGAGCTCTAGTTCCCTCAGTTTCAGATGTCCTTTCAATAACATCCTTTTGAAGACTTTTCTCTACCTCCTTCATATCAAATTCAACAACATATTTTGCCGCTGCGGAGTTTAACTTCTCTGATAATTTTTCTCTTTCTAACATTTCCTTCCAGGTTGCAAGCCTTTCCCGCCAAGTACCTACACTGTTCCCAGTTTCACCTATCATGTAAGAATACAATAAAGGGATTAGATGGTCCAAAGCTAAGGTTACTAATGCTTGTCTATGAGGGATCTAGAATGCCGCTTCACGAGAAACTCGATCAGTGAGAGAGATTAGGTCGTCAAAAACAAAGGTATCCCACAATAAATTCCTTATTGTGGTGTCTTCAGCATGTCACTACTAGACAGGTATCCAGTGCTCTTCTACATTACCGCAGGAATCCGCCGCAAATGAAGATTGCACTAATAAAAAAGTTTTTAATTTTTTAATCATGATGACAATATTAATAACAAAGCTATTCCCACAATATAAGAATATATGCAACCACGCAACTCAGATTTCTAATGCAAAACAGATGTCTCCATCTTAATGATTGTATACTGACCAGAAACACCCAGATCTTGGCTTAATTTCTTCTTTGCCTCTGTCTGAATCCTAGCATTTCTATCAATTATTTTCTTGAGAGATCCTTGCGTGGTCTCCAGATCCTCATCCCACGCATTTTCTCCAACATAAGAAGTATCGTGGACAAGTGTTCCATCAGGCCCTTCGATAAACCTTTTTAGTTTCAAGCCTTTGGGTGTTGTTTTCCTCCACATATTTCTCTTAAACCTGAAACACTAGACTAAATCAGGACATTCTAGGAAATCAAATAAAAAAAAGTAGCTTTAGTTTTCCCACCCTTGAAGCTCTACATGCCTCCATAGCTGAGCAAGTACTTGATTAAGGATGATGCCATTGTTCAAGTATAAAACAAATTTATGCCCCAGCACATAAAATTACAATTAGAAACTGAGGATAAATAAGGATTTACTTTTCTATATTGCCAGGAGACGGCTCGGGGATCAAAGCCTCCATAAAAGACTCTGTTAACTCTTTTCTTTCTCGTTCTATCCTGGGAGCTTGAATTGCAACATAAACTCTTTGACAAGAAAACAACAGCGCAAAAGCGTAAATGACCAAGGTAGCAACTCTTTTACCGTCCCAGTTCCTAATGTCCTGAAACAAAATATCTTCCCTGATTAAGAAACCACATGGATTACCGCTAGAACTCAGTTTCTCAACTCTATTACACATCTCAATCAGTCTCCAAAACTTTGCTTCCGTAAATTCATAAACAACATACAGAGATACAAAACGATTGTTCCACTATGTTTCAGGATACACGCAGAAGCACTGTCTAGCAATACTTGAGGATCAGAGATTTGATAATTACGTTAAAAAGGGGAAACAGCTTACCTTCCAGTGCTCCCACTTGTTCCAATCAATAAACAAAGGCACTGTCTCAGTCTTAAAGCGAGTCAACTCGTGCTGGCCCTTGTGCACAGTATCCTTAACTCGACCCACATACTCGTCCGAGTCAAACCCAATTTCCTTCTTCACAGACTCTCCAACCTTCTCCCCTATCCTCTCTGCACCAAGGCGAATAGACCGCATCAATCTAACCCACGAAAAGCCATTGTCGTTATTAGACGAAGACCCACTACTACTTTGAGACGCATAAACTCGGAAGAGCTGTTTTTCCCGGGTAACTCCCAGTCCATACTTGACGGGAAGCCGAACAAGACCAGAATTTTTAGGTATTTTCAACAATTGGGTCGATGAAGAGATAAGCGGATTCGGCTTATACGAAATTGCAATATCCATGAGAGAAATTTAAAGTTTAAAAGAGAACAAAACCAGTCGCATTTGAGGATTTTTCCCGGTTATAGAGCTCTCTCTGCGGAAATCACGGAAGGATGATAGTGAGAACAAACCATTCGAATTACTCGTCTCTCCGGCAAGACTCACTCTTCTCTCCGGCAGGAAGGTTTTATCTACACTGATGGACCGTCGTTGAGTGGTCTTAATGCTGAGTCGAAGGAGAAAGATGACGCTTAAACTCAAAGAGGCTCGAGCTCTGTTAACAATATAATTGGGCAGGCCCATTAAGGTCCATATTCGAAACATGCATATGTGTATATTTAAACCGTGAAGAGAGAGTGGCAAAATAGTAATTATAAATGAAGTTTCTTGGGGTGTTGTCCAAGCAGCTTTTATATAATACAGTGTTCTCTCGCTTCTCGAAAGATCCACCCACCAACTCTTTTATATCCAAGCCACTTCATTATTTTTGTGTAACGTTCGATCATATTGTCTTTCATTACAGCCACTCATGTGAGTATATTCTCTAATTGCTTCCCTTAGATTCTTTCCTCTTAACGATTCCGATTGATTTGTTCGATTAGGTTTTGAGCTAGAATCTCTAGATCTGTCTCGCCGATTTGTTTGATTTCTCTGTCAATCTGATCTCGTGGTGTTGTCTCGCAGTGTTTTAAGTTTGTCTTACGAAGAATCTAATCTACTATGGCGACAAAGAGAAGCGTTGGAACTTTGAAGGAAGCGGATCTGAAGGGAAAGAGTGTGTTCGTGAGGGTTGATCTCAACGTTCCTTTGGATGATAACTCTAACATCACCGATGATACCAGGATTCGTGCCGCTGTTCCCACCATCAAGTACTTGATGGGAAACGGATCTAGAGTTGTGCTCTGCAGTCACTTGGTATGTCATCTTCGTTCCCACTTCACATGCTTGCTTGCTTGTCTGTTGTAGTTGTGGCGTTGCGTGGGAACTTTTATCTGATCTCTTTATCTGGCGAGCCATGCGTATAAGCAGGATCTCTTTATCTGGCGAGCCATGCCATGCGTTAAGCAGGATCTCTTTGCAATTTAGGATGTAGATGTAGTGTTCTTGTTTTTCAGCCTTCATTGGTTTAATCGGTTGATTTTCTTGTTTTGACCCAACTTCACGATGCTACCAGTGCCAAGTTATATTCTATTTTACTAGTGACGTACTACTTTTTTTTTTTTGGGTACCCTGTAAGATAATTATAGTATTTATTCGATGTTTCTGATCTCAATTTATGTTTCAGGGACGCCCAAAAGGTGTTACTCCTAAATACAGCTTGAAGCCTCTTGTGCCGAGATTGTCTGAACTTCTTGGTGTTGAGGTTTGTTCCTCTTCCTCCTCTAGGCTTGCATGGTTTCTTTACATCAGCCTCTAAAAGTACTCTGTTCTCACTCTCTTGTGTTAATAGGTTGTAATGGCAAATGACTCTATTGGCGAGGAAGTCCAGAAGTTGGTTGCTGCACTACCTGAAGGTGGTGTTTTGCTGTTGGAGAATGTGAGGTTCTACACTGAAGAAGAGAAGAATGATCCTGAATTTGCAAAGAAGCTTGCTGCTCTTGCCGATGTCTATGTTAATGATGCATTTGGAACTGCTCATAGAGCTCATGCTTCCACTGAGGGTGTTGCCAAATATTTAAAGCCGTCAGTTGCTGGCTTCCTCATGCAGAAGGTATTTAAATTTTCCAGCATAAAGAGTGTCATCTTAGATGAGTCTCCTCAATTTTACTGACCAGACTATTACCTGTTTGTTGTGTCAGGAACTTGATTACCTTGTCGGAGCTGTGGCAAACCCCAAGAAGCCTTTTGCTGCCATTGTTGGAGGCTCAAAGGTTTCAACAAAGATTGGTGTGATTGAGTCACTCTTGTCCACCGTTAACATCCTCCTCCTCGGTGGAGGTATGATTTTCACTTTCTACAAGGCACAAGGACTCTCAGTCGGATCTTCCCTTGTCGAAGAAGACAAGCTTGACTTGGCAAAGTCACTCATGGAGAAGGCAAAGGCCAAAGGTGTCTCTCTCTTGCTCCCAACCGATGTGGTTATTGCTGACAAGTTTGCTCCCGATGCTAACAGCAAGGTAACTATCACATTCATTGTGGTTGACTCTCAATGGGTCTTGATATTGAATGAAATAAAACATTTTTAAAATCATCTGGCCTGTATAAAGCTGACACAATTATGTAACTCTTGCAGATAGTGCCAGCCTCTGCCATCCCAGATGGGTGGATGGGTCTAGATATTGGTCCAGACTCCATCAAGACATTCAGCGAAGCTCTGGACACAACCAAGACCATCATCTGGAATGGTCCCATGGGTGTTTTTGAATTTGATAAGTTTGCAGCTGGAACTGAGGTATGAGCCCAAGTCACCCTTTGATCAAAATCCATCCGTGTTCAACATTTCTGTTTATTAACCAGAGAAACCCAACTGAACTAACCCAATATCTTGTCTTGTTTCACCATCAGGCCGTAGCAAAGCAGCTTGCAGAACTAAGTGGAAAGGGCGTAACCACAATCATTGGAGGAGGTGACTCTGTGGCTGCCGTCGAGAAGGTTGGTTTGGCTGACAAGATGAGTCACATCTCTACCGGAGGTGGTGCTAGTTTGGAGCTTCTTGAGGGGAAGCCACTCCCAGGAGTTCTCGCTCTAGACGATGCTTGAGAATCCACACAATGGATTTCATCTCTCTTTTTGTGCTGTTATATGTAAGTGTCTGGTTTTTCTCACGACCAGACGTGCAAGCGATTATTATTGTCAGCTTGAAATTTCTGTCTGCGGCTCTCTTTCTTACGAGTTTTAGTTTGGGGCCTTTTTAAATAATAAGAGATGAAACTCTGATTAGCTGCAGTCTCAACCATACATCACCAGTTATCAGTTGTTATTTTTAACTTGTCTGTTTATTAATTCTGGATGATTTTGTCTCTTCGCTAAAAGTGTTCTTTTAAAGTGAAAGAAAATCGTTGGAACGTATGAAATAATTATCTTACTCTCTTGAGGGAGGAAAATTGAAATTCGTGTTCCAACAATTTAAGGAAAGTTTATCTTGAGACTCCAATCATGAACTTGATAGGAACTGGTGAATTGAAGAAATACTGACCACATCCCGGCCAGTGAGGAATTATAGTACCAGTGAAGACATAGCTCATTTTTGTCCCACATCGAATGAAAGCAAAATTAGCCGCCAAAAGATTTACGTATATAAGAATCCGATGCTTCTTTTCGTTTTCTCACGAAGTCATGTACTGAGCACAAAGCGAACTATTCTTTCGCCTTTTACTAAAGAATACCGTGTGCTCTCTACGATTAATGGCATACACCTATTTTTGGAGGAGCTATTTCATCCGAAGTTAGCTCCATAATACTCTCAGTTCGATACTTTTCATTAGTTAACAACTCTGACCCATTTCTGTGTAAACAGTTTTGATGATTCATGCATTAGACAGGGGAAAGGCCCATTCGTTGCCCAATAACGACGTAAGAAAATAGTCCCACATCGGATGGAACAGAAACAAGACGTCCAAAGATTTACATATAAAAGGCACTGGTGCGTACTCTACATGACTCATGGAGCCGTGTGGTAAGCACATAGCGAACTATTCTTTCGCCTTTTACTAAAGAATACCGTGTGTTCTCCACGCTAAACGGCATACACCTATTTTTGGAGGAGTAACTTCATCTGAAGTTTGCTCCATTAATTCCTCAGTTCAATTTTTAATATTTCTATTAACATTTCGTTCATCTCCAAAATTACAGAGCATAAGATCGAAAATGAGATTATTTGACGAAAAATTGTGTCGGTTATTTAGTCTTCAGTAGTGATTAAGTGACCCGATTGCAGGGTTTTCAACTCATGATATAGTGACAAAGCAGTGATTATAGATCGATTTTAATTTGATTATTATTTTTTTATTTGGTTCTTTAGAGAGCACATCTACAGTGGTGATTTAAAGGTGTATTCAAAATTGATTTTAGAGTATAAAAATTAAATTTAATAAAAATGTTGGTCTAATAATGAAGATTTGTGTCCTAATTGAGACACATTTGTGGGAGTCTAAAAATTAAATTTACATAATACATAATTAATTGTTTAGACATTTTTAGTGGGTGTCACCATTAAACATGCTCTTAACAGTGATAAGATTAGTTTTTAGAATTGTTTACATATTAAAATTTAAGATTTTCTTAGAATTGTTTTTTATATAAGAGACATTTCATAAAATTCTCCTAATGCTATAATAGCGGTGGTCTTACAATTTCAATTCGTTGCTATACAATCAATTGTGTATTGATTTACTTAACAGAAGGTTTTCATATCAGTTGTTGCTGCAGGATTGTACCGGTTAACTGGTCGGTTGTTAAACTCTTCAACGTATGATGGTAGTATCATCTCGTTTTGTGTGATCTTCAAGAGATAAGAAAAATATTTTGCCATTATTAATTAGAAGATGTATGAATTTTAGTTCTTCTCTCTAATGTATACTCCATTTTATTCTGTACCATAAACCGGTATGTTTCACTAATTATCGATACCGGTTTACCGATAAACCGGGTGAAGTCGATCCAGAGTTTGTTCCGATGGCAGAAAACCCTTGACGATCAAAAGAAAGCCGTCTTCTTCTTCTTCCTCAGACAGAGTCTCTTCCATCTTTAGTCGGAGAGGCATTTGAAATCTCTTCTGATCACCGGAAGTTCTCTCGCGGAAGGTGGACGCCGTCGTATTGCCGCCTATTTCTTAGACTCAATTGGTGTTGCTAGTAGTCATGGAATGCAACCCCGTTGTAAAACCCTAATTATTTGCATCTATGAACACCGGAACAATGAGATTTGGTTTCTCATCCGCTTCGCATTTAGTATGAAACCACAGATGTTCCTTAGATCAGTCATTCAGCTCTATTCAAAGCCGTCATGGATGCAACGTTCCTACTCCTCCGGCAACTCGGAATTCAACATCTCTGGCGAGGTCATTAGTATCCTAGCTAAGAAGAAACCAATAGAGCCTGCTTTGGAGCCGCTTGTTCCGTTTCTCTCGAATAAAATCATCACATCGGTAATCAAGGATGAGGTCAATCCACGATTAGGATTCCGTTTCTTTATATGGGCATCAAGAAGAGAGCGTCTCAGGAGCCGCGATTCTTTTGGTTTGGTCATTAATATGCTCTCTCAAGATGATGGGTGCGATCTATATTGGCAGACATTGGAGGAGCTTAAATCTGGTGGTGTTTCTGTCGATTCTTATTGTTTCTGTGTTTTGATCTCAGCTTATGCTAAGATGGGTATGGCTGAGAAGGCGGTGGAGTCGTTTGGAAGGATGAAGGAGTTCGATTGCAGACCCGATGTCTTCACCTACAACGTGATTTTGCGTGTCATGATGCGAGAAGAAGTCTTTTTTATGTTGGCTTTTGCTGTGTATAATGAGATGCTAAAGTGCAATTGTTCCCCAAATCGATACACGTTTTGTATTTTGATGGATGGGTTGTACAAGAAAGGGAGAACAAGTGATGCACAGAAGATGTTCGACGATATGACAGGTAGAGGAATCTCGCCTAACAGAGTTACTTATACCATTCTCATTTCAGGTTTGTGTCAGAGGGGAAGTGCTGAAGATGCACGAAAGCTATTCTACGAGATGAAAGCGGGTGGTGACTCTCCTGATTCCGTCGCATACAATGCTTTGCTTGATGGTTTTTGTAAATTAGGTCGGATGGTTGAAGCATTTGAGCTGTTGCGGCTTTTTGAGAAAGATGGTTTTGTGCTTGGTCTTCGAGGTTATAGTAGTTTAGTTGATGCGTTATTCAGAGCTAATAGATACGCCCAGGCATTTGAGTTGTATGCAAATATGCTGAAGAATAATATTAAGCCTGACATCGTTTTTTACACGATATTGATTCAAGGGTTATCTAAAGCCGGTAAGATTAAGGATGCATTGAAGCTGTTAAGCAGCATGCCAAGTAAGGGCATTAGCCCAGATACCTACTGCTACAATGCTGTCATAACGGCTCTATGTGAGAGGGGAATTTTGGAAGAGGCTAGGTCCCTCCAACTCGAGATGTCAGAAAAAGAATCCTTCCCTGATGCGTGCACACACACAGTTCTCATTTGTAGCATGTGCAGGAATGGGCTGGTTAGGAAAGCTGAAGAAATTTTTGTGGAGATTGAGAAGAGTGGTTGTTCTCCTTCAGTGGCTACGTTTAATGCTTTAATTGATGGATTGTGCAAGTCCGGTGAGCTCAAAGAAGCCAGGTTATTGCTGCATAAAATGGAGGTCGGGAGACCTGCTTCCTTGTTTTTAAGGCTTTCGCACAGTGGAAACCGGAGTTTTGACACCATGGTTGAATCCGGTTCTATTCTCAAGGCATATAGAGATCTTGCACATTTTGCTGATACCGGGAATTCTCCAGACATTGTTACTTACAATGTTCTTATAAACGGGTTCTGCAAAGCAGGAGACATTGACGGTGCTCTCAAGCTTCTCAAGGTGCTTCAACTAAAGGGTTTATCCCCTGACAGCGTCACTTACAATACTCTCATCAACGGACTTCATAGAGTCGGCAGAGAAGAAGAAGCTTTAAAACTCTTTTATGCGAAAGATGATTTTCGACACAGTCCAGCGGTTTACAGATCGCTCATGACATGGTCATGTCGGAAGAGAAAGGTCTTGGTGGCTTTTAGTCTATGGATGAAATACCTAAAGAAAATATCTTGTCTGGATGATGAAACAGCTAATGAGATTGAACAATGTTTCAAGGAAGGGGAAACCGAGAGAGCTTTAAGACGACTTATTGAATTGGATACCAGAAAAGACGAGTTAAGTTTAGGGCCTTACTCAATCTGGCTGATAGGGTTATGCCAATCAGGGAGATTTGACGAGGCCTTGATGGTGTTTTCGGTTTTAAGGGAGAAGAAGATCCCCGTCACACCTCCGAGTTGTGTCAAATTGATTCATGGACTCTGCAAAAGAGAACAACTTGATGCAGCAATAGATGTGTTCTTATACACTATAGAAAACAACTTCAAGCTGATGCCTAGAGTTTGCAACTACCTACTAAGCTCCCTCCTGCATTCACAAGAAAAAATGGAGAACGTTTCTCAACTTATAAACAGAATGGAACGAGCAGGGTATGATATCGACTCGATGCTTCGATACAAGCTTTTGAAACATCATAGACATAGAAAGCAGGTCCTGATATATCCTTAGGTAATGAAATGATACGTAAAAGGTTTATCTGCATCCGGATTCAGTGGTACGGGGTTTTGTCGAGAAGAGAAAATAGTGTTTTGATTCGATCTCTTTACCTTAACATTACATTAGAGTACCGAGTGTAAGCAGGTGAAAAGGAGGTTATTATACGTAAATGCTTTGTATGCTTTATTTATAGAGTCGTTCTTGAAGATTTCGTTATCTTTCTTTTTCTTATTGTACACTGATTTGTTTTGTATGATGATATGTTAAATCTCTTTGAAATAAAGAATGTCTGCAGCTTCCTGCATCGCTAATTAGACAATGAGCCCTTATTATAATCCAACCAACCATTATATTGCTAAAAGTTTGATGAAGTTTGACATAAAAAGAAAAGGCAGCTGCTGGAAAGGGCTTTTGAAAACCCTGGCCCAGATCCGTCTGACGTGGCATCACACAAGGGCTTTCCCAAGAGTCAGTATCTCAGTGCCAAAAACGACAAAAGATCACAGGAAGGCCGACCAATCATGGGCCTGAACCTGTCTTTTTTTGTATTCCACGTCCAAATCTCAACTCTTCATTCTCATATATGCCATGTCATCTTTGCCACCATTTTCAAAATTCAGTGTGGTTTTTCTTTGTCTTCTGTTACAGATTTTGAAGCAATAATCTCGTTGTATCTCTATTTAATATGCAAAATTACCCATTAGTTTTTATTTTTAATGCCGTTGTAAAAAATACATTAATTCCATATACAATATTGGGTCGCAGCAGATCTGAAGCCATCAATGTTTATATTAAGCAACAGAGTGTGCCGTCTCTTTCTCTCTAAACTAAACCAAATTGCCTAGAAAACTCTGTTGAGAGTAGACCAAAAGGAGTGTTTTAAAAATAGGAAAAAGGTGAAAACTCTGCGAACATTTTGGATTCTCCACATTTGTTTGTTTTATATATATACATATTTGGTTGGCTCTACACCTACTCTCAGAAGCCAAGCAAAGGGAAAGGGGTTAGGGTTTTTGACCGTGAGATCCTCTCTCTCTCTCTCTCTCGTTTGTTTTCCTCCGGTACCGAGTCAATGGCCTTCTCTTCTCTCCTCAGATCTGCCGCCGCCTCCACGGTTGCTGCTCCTCGCAATGACTCCTTCTCCTCGCCGCCGTCTGATCATTCTAAGGTCAGATCATACGACGTTTTCCCTGTTGTCCATGTTTCCTTCGTTTCTCATTCTCTCGTGTTTCTTCTCGATTTGGTCTCAGAAGCTGCTTGAATTTTAGGCCGTTGGTTACTTAAGAGTAGTTTAATGTGATATGCTTACTGTAAGCTGTTCTGAGTAGTCTGATCTTAGTAAAAGTAATTCTCTACTTGTGTTCTGAGTATGCTTACTGTAAGCTGGTGACGTTGATCTTGTTTCTGTCTTCCTTTGTTGCGTTATCTTTGATAACATTATGAATTCCATCTCCTGAAATGGCTCTAGGCTTGGCTTCTTTTTTGTGGATCTTTCAGAATGTCTAATGGCATACATTTGTATGTTAGTTTATCAGATTATGAGCTTAAATAGTTATTGTTTAACAGTTTGCTGGACGCGAAGTTATTATATGCTTTGATTTTGGAGTTGTTTGTATGTTTTTAGTTTGTTGCTCAGGATTTTTGCAAGAGAACAATCGTGTTTATTATTTTGTTTGCTCAATTTCTCAGGTGTCGTCAAATCTTGGGTTTAGTGGCAACCTGAAATCATCAAAGTTTTCTTCTGGGATATCTTCATCTCTACAGTTATGTTACAAATTCACTAACACATATTAAAATGTATGACTCACTTTCCGATTCTCAGTCCTTTTTTCTTTTAATGTTTCTAATGTACAGAAAATGCAATGCACGAAGTGTTCAACCCATCAAGGCCACGGCAACAGAAGTGCCATCTGCAGTTCAAAGTAAGTAAGAAAAATAATAATGCGTTGTATGCTTATTTGGTGAATTTGATTTTATTTTCTTAAGTAGGGTCAGGTAGCAGTGCAAAGACAAAGGTTGGGATCAACGGTATGTGCTTTTATCAATCAATGCATATTTTCTTTGAAGACTCCTAGATCATCATTTACTCCCTTCAAGAATATCCTTTGAGGCCACAACGTTTTCGTTTCTTATATAAACTCTTTTCTTTTTGCTGCGAACACTACAGGCTTTGGTCGGATTGGAAGGTTGGTACTCCGCATTGCAACATCCAGGGATGATATTGAGGTTGTGGCAGTGAACGACCCATTCATTGATGCCAAATACATGGTGAGGTATCCTCTAACTGGGTATTTCTTGAAACAATAGTTATGTTCTGTTCTTAAACTCACTTACTTTCTTGCTTGCTTGAACCTGGTATATTTTTAGCAAATCTTGAAAGATACATTTTCCAGTGAAGAAATGTCTAATTTTTAAACTTAATGCGGATCTTCTGTCCCCTCTGTTCCACAGGCTTACATGTTGAAGTATGATTCTACTCATGGCAATTTTAAGGGAACCATCAATGTCATTGATGATTCTACTTTGGAGATTAACGGGAAGAAGGTCAATGTCGTCAGCAAGAGGTGCCGCCTCAAAGTAGAATATCATTTTCTGCCGGTCAGAGAACTGGCATTTTTACTTTAGAACCTAATATTCTATTGCTTATTCTTCCTCAGAGATCCAGCTGAGATCCCATGGGCTGATCTTGGAGCTGATTATGTTGTTGAGTCTTCTGGTGTATTCACCACCCTGTCAAAGGCTGCATCCCATTTAAAGGTGCATTCTTATAAATCCACACATTTTTGACTTGTTATACATATATATAATAAATCAAATAACCTTGTTTTAAGATGATATGTTTGCTTAATATTCCCATTGTATTGCAGGGAGGTGCCAAGAAAGTTATTATTTCTGCCCCTTCAGCTGACGCACCTATGTTTGTTGTTGGAGTAAATGAGAAGACATATCAACCAAACATGGATATTGTCTCCAATGCAAGTTGTACCACCAATTGTCTTGCCCCGCTTGCCAAGGTTGGTTGCACAATGAATCTCTCCCTCATTTGTGCTTGTTCTTTTTCCATATATCATTCGTTATAAGAGATTCGTTAAGGTCAATTAAATTGTATTTGACAGGTGGTGCATGAGGAATTTGGTATTCTTGAAGGCTTGATGACAACTGTCCATGCAACTACAGGTCTATATATATTGCTCTCCTGCTGCACATCACTGAATGTTGATAACCTGATAACACTAAACTGTGTGTTTTGGTTATTTTTTTCTTTCAGCTACTCAGAAAACTGTTGATGGTCCATCAATGAAGGACTGGAGAGGAGGCCGGGGAGCTAGTCAAAACATCATTCCTAGCTCCACTGGCGCTGCGAAGGTACACAAAAATATTACATGGCTATCTATAAGCATGTAATTAGCTTAAATCTGGAATCATAACTGAGCAGTGTTTTTTTTTTTAAATTAAATAGGCTGTAGGTAAAGTTCTTCCAGAACTGAATGGAAAACTTACGGGAATGGCCTTCCGTGTACCAACACCAAATGTTTCTGTTGTGGATTTAACTTGTCGACTTGAGAAGGGTGCTTCTTACGAAGATGTTAAAGCAGCCATTAAGTAAGCTTCCCAAAACTTTCTTGACCAAACAGATTTTCCCATCAAAACATTATTTGTTAATGTAGAACTCGTAGTAACTTCTCATGGTTTAATGTAACCCCGTAATAGGTATGCCTCAGAAGGACCTCTTAAAGGCATTCTTGGGTACACAGATGAAGATGTCGTCTCCAACGATTTTGTCGGTGATTCAAGGTTGGTCTCTCTTCTTTTCTTGAAAGCCATCGGAATCTTTGTTTTTTTGTGGTTGACCAGTCTTGGTGATTTCAATTTTGTTATAACAGGTCCAGTATCTTTGACGCCAATGCTGGGATTGGATTGAGCAAGTCCTTTGTGAAACTTGTCTCTTGGTACGATAATGAATGGGGTTACAGGTACACTTGTTGTTTCTCACCTCATCATATTTATTCCATTAGATGTAGCTAACAGTTCTCAAACACTTACACATCTTCTCCCATTTTGCTTACAGCAACCGAGTTCTTGACCTTATAGAGCACATGGCATTGGTAGCAGCCAGCCACTAAATAAACATACGGGTTCTTGCTATCTGCGTAACCTGCTCTATGAAGCCGGTGCTAAGTTAAATTAGGTATTAGGTGTTTTGAGGAATTTAGTTTGAATTACGAGCCTTTCTTCTTTTTTTGTTCTGTTCCAACATCAGCAAGTATGGAAACTAGATTTGGTTCAAATCAACAAAAACTGTGCGACTTACATCTTATCAATAAGGGGCGAACCATGTTGTACTTTAGCTATTTACCAAAAATAGCTTACCGAGTTTAAGCAACAATTGTTTGCAAGCTTGTTGATGGTGTACCGTTAGCTAATGTATGATGGCCACTGAAACATACATGGTTTTTAGAAATGAAAACAGAAATTGAATTAGATTTAGCCATGTAACAAAATACATACAACATCGTTTATCTTTAGTCTTTACATCTGCTATGAAGAAAGTATACTCGTTTTTTTCATACGATGAAACTATTGTCTCTATATGTTCCTCCAACTATTGCGAATTACATATGTTTCATGTTTCATGTTTCATAATATCTGTTTATTACAGATGTCCCCTAACCTTTTAAGAGAATGTGCAGATGGCCCTGGAAATTTCGTTTTATTGCAGATATACCCAAAATTTTTGATAAATTCTAAATGTCTCCAAGATTTTCGTTAATTACAGATACCTCTCATCTCATGATTTGGAGTTGGAGGTTTAGATCAAATAACGCCGAATGGCATTTCATCGGCTACAACAATTTTGAAAAAAATGGATAAATGACAAAAATTGAATAATAGAGTGTTAGATTGTTCATTACAGACGTCCATGTATAAAGGTATAATATCAACATGTATAAGGACAAGGCAAACAAAATATATTTTTCTCTGTCAACTTAGGATTTCATTAATTGAAACCGAAATAGGACTACAAAAAAGGATACTGGTAGACAACTATTATCCCCAAAAACATTGTAGCGAAAAAGAAAATTTTCCGAAAACTAAACCCTAAAATACAAAATGAACTGAACTAGAATTATAGACATGTCAATTGGGCTGGGCCGGCCCTGAAGACGTGGCTCTTTTTTGGCCAGTTCCCAAGAAAAGGTCCCGAACAACTTTTGATTCTCTTGGTAACTCTGAGAGAGAGAGATCGGTTATGGCGGCAACGGAGCATCTCGGCCTCAGTGGAGAGGACTACAATGTCGACCTCTTGCCC